TTCATCTATTCATATACATTGTTCACATACATTGTTCACATACATTGTTCACATACATTGTTCACATACATTGTTCACATACATTGTTCACATACATTGTTCACATACATTGTTCACATACATTGTTCACATACATTGTTCACAAACATTGAATATTGGAATGATGATATTCCTATTTTACGGTGCGAGCGGGAATCCTTTCACTGGCGCAGGTCTTTCCCCGTTATATGAATCAGATGAACAGGTCCTTCATCTCCGCCGAAAAAGCGTTTGGAGAAGGGGCTGGAGAAAAGAAAGTTCTCTATCTCCACCATAGAAATTGGCGTTCTCCGCACGATTTATTTTAGGTCGTGACCTTTTCGAGCATCCATCGCTGAATGGATTCGCTGAAATGGGGCGAAAACGAATCGGTCGAGGAGCGAAATTGAATCAGGGAAAGAATTGGGGAATGTCGAAGGTGCGAAGGGGAAGGGGAAATGTCGGAATGTCGGAATGAAAATGGTCGAAGCAGACTTTTTTCATCGAGTCGGGGAATCCACGAGGCCGACTCTCGAGCCTACCGTTCAAAAGTTTTGATTGCGTCCGATGGTTCTCAGAGACTCCATGGCATTTCGATCGTTGTCGCCCACGATGTCTCGGCCCGTTTCTCTCCCGGATGGACCCTGCCTGATTGCCAGGGCCAGATTGCCAGGGCCAGATTGCCAGGGCCAGATTGCCAGGGCCAGATTGCCAGGGCCAGATTGCCAGGGCCAGATTGCCAGGGCCAGATTGCCAGGGCCCATTCCCACGAACTGCGAACAGCAACGTCCGGGGAATCCAACCGAGCAACCACCGTGCAAGGTCAGCTCGCAGGCTGGCGGCAGAAAGCGATCCAGAAGACGGTCCGAGACATCCGGCGGAGCAGACGCATCCTCCCGTCGCTCTCTTCGCGCCGCCCGCCTCGGGGAACGCGGAAGGAAGCAGAAGGGGACGCGCGACTTTGGACACCTGTGCCATCCGTCCGAGACAAATATCTTCCCGTACGTCTTAGGTGAAGACTATGACCTAAGATGATGAATTTTCGACGAATTCTCCCATGCGCCTTCCTCGGCGAAAGTAACATTCGACCCATTGTTTCGATTTCATCAAAGACGACAATTTTTCTTTCGGGACAATTTTTACTTTTCGACCTTTTCTCATGTCTCGGGGAATTCCATGAATTCTACTTGGAAATCGAACCGCCTTCCCTCCATCCTCCGGGCCTGAGATTTCTGGAGACTCCTTCGGCTCGGTTACCTCGTAAGACCGATTCGTTCGAGAATTCCAATGTCTTCCTCTGCGGCGTCCGTGAAGGGGAAGAGATCTTTCCTCGAATAAAGCTTTGGAGATGATTCCAGCTGTACGAGGCGCTGACGAGCTGCGGCGGGTGCTTTGGCGCCATCTAGCGTCGATTGTGTGAGCTTCTAGCCACGTTTTCATGCTAATTGGGAAGTTCGAAGACATCAGCCTCCTTTATAGTAATTGGAAAACTACAACGACTTTTCTGATGTTACTGAAATAAAATATGTGATATTAGAATTGTTCAACGGGAAATCGTTCTCGCGTGGACGTGATAACGTTTCTGTACACTGTCGTAATTGACGCAGTCATTGACGCAGTCAATGCACAGTGGAAAGTCAATTGACGCAGTCAATTGACTTTGCAACCATCGTGGTTTTTGCTATACTTAGCAAAAACCACGATGGTTGCAAAGTCAGCAATGCAAAATTGACTACAATAGTCACAGTTGCTTACGCAAGAAACACCTTAGTCGTCCGTTTTCACAGAAGTCAGACTCGCGTACTTCACCAGTACTCATTGTGGTCTGTCGAAGGAAGTGACACGAAATCCCCTACAAATTCAAATTGGTCAATATGACCAATTCCACCAATTTCACATGACCAATTTGAAAATCATCACCTCCCTCTCAAACCGATAGAGATCACTTTTTAATCCGTCATCTCGTCAATGCGCATTCCTTCAGACGCCTGCGAAGGTTTTCGAACGAGAAATCGAAATTCGATTTTTCCGGGAAATATTTCGAGCCAAGCGGGCCAAAGTCTAGGCCGACGAAGTTAAGGAGGCCGACGAAGTTAAGGAGGCCGACGAAATTGAAGAGGAGAATTAGGTGAAAATCGGTGAAATGTTCTCTCCCGCTCAAAACCGTCCTTGAAGGGGGATTTGTCAAGAGGGGGAACAAAAAAAAAATTTCTTAAAAAACAAAAAAAAAACTGAGAACATTGGGTGAAAAACATTTTTCCCAATGGAGAAGAGCATGGAAAGGGAGTCACGTCACATGTCACAACGCTCGTATAGCATTTTTTTTTTTTATGCGGAGGATCGTCGTTCGTCGTTTTCCTGGTTGGGTGATTCGTCGACAGTCTCTTCACTCCTGTGCGTGGATGTGTTCTAATCCCTTAATCCTCTCATCCTTAAAATCCTACGGGTTTATTGCCCTCAAAATCTGGAAGGATTTAAAAGCGGCAGAAGTTCCTGGAGTCCACTTACATAAATATTCATATCACTTGTAACTTTTACATTTTATTCTAATTTTGTAGGCCTAAAAACAGGAAATAAATATATTTTATTATAATTTGAAGCCTTCTACTGGTGATTTATCATTCGGAAGTGAGTGATTCAAGTCGAATCTCCCGACGGAGTGAACCCGCAAAGTCTTCGGATTTCCTCTGCAAGGGATTCCAAGCAATCAAGAGAATGGGCAAGGAACAAAGTTCGGAGAAATTTCTGAAGAAAAAAAAAACAAGAAAAAACGGTTCAGGTTGGAAGTCTTCGATGGTTCCACGCCCTTGAAAAGGTCGCAGCACCATATGGAAACCCCGTCGCTGCTCGTCGAACCTCAGGAACCGCCCACTGGTCCTCGGCAAGACCATTTCTTGTGCTTTCTCGAAATGGTTCCAAAACGGTTCCCTTCAGAGCTTGATACTTAAATATTTTATCTCATCACTCGCTCAGAACAATCCCTTCCCACTGGCTTAGGCAATTCCTTAAACGGTTGCTTATGTCCTGAGTGCCTTCTCCGGCTGTCTCCTTCGTACTTTAAAGGTGTGATACCCTTGCACGTTCCCGGTCCTGAAGGCCTCCGCATTCGGAACGGATGTTGCCTCAGCTATTCTTTGCTCTCTGGGGGTAGGGATGTTGCCGTGTAAGGAACTCTGGAAAGTTATTTTTTTCCTATAACTTTTCACCATTGTGAAAAGTCGGCTCATGGTTGGGGCATGTGCGGTTTCCCAACAATAAGCTCGAGTTGGCCCGATGAAGGGCCAACAGAACGTGCCAGCCAACTTCAGCAGGCTTAAACCAACCAAGTGATGGCCTCATAAAAATGTTTTGATTTGGATTGAGCGATGGTTCCGAGTGGAACCATTTCATTCACAAAGGGGTTTTTAAGTTTAACACCTTTGAAGGTGCGACGTGAAGCCCTCGTAGGTGGTTCCCCATTGAATCATTTTTTTAAAAGCATATTTCCATATTGGGATGGGAAATGAAGGGACTTTCTCGCGGGCAGACTCGAAATCGATCGTTCATATTGCATCGGATGTTTCCTCGTGTCGTCGACCGGATCTCGCTCAGGGTCGAGCGATTGGGAAAGGTGAGAGGCCGAAGATTGGTAGCCTTGTCCTTTATCCCTTTGAGATCCGGATCAGGGTCGGGACAGGATTTTCCGGCTTCGCCGATGACGCCGTCTTGCCTAATGCATTTTCATGGCTGTCGGCTTTTACGGTTCTCGAGGCTTGTGGGCTCCAAAATTCCCTCCTAAGAGGAAAAGCGCCATCTTTTGCTACAAGCTGAGCTACTAAACCATTTCTGGGCTCAAACTCAAGCTGAGATGATGCGGAATCTGATTACTCAATGCATTTTTTGGTATATCCAAGATGAAATGAATTTAACATTTTCCAAATCTGAAGATATTGCCAACATTTGCGCGAAGATTTTGAGCTTTGGGAGACACTGTAACGCAAAGAGCTTCTGGAAAAATTACTAAACAAGGCAATGGCATCATGAACCGTTAAATTTCACATTTTTATTTTCTGTGAATTTGAAAAGACAATTTTTTTTCCGATTTTCACCAACGTCGTATTTACTGTTTCAAGCAAGATAAAAAGCGTGAAACTAGTCTAAAAAGAAAGCTCTCGCCAAGCTCTTTTCATGGGTAAATTACTCGTGTTCCTACTTTTAATTTTGCGTTTGTGCTTTTTTCTGAGCTTTCGAACCCGCCAAATTCCCTTCTGAAAGTTGTTATATTGTTAAATAAAGAATCCTGATGCCACAACCAGGCATATCTCGCCTGTGACCTATAAGCAGCCCTAGTCCTATTATGCGCTTAATATTAAACATTAAATATTAATATTTGATGTGCCTGTGGATTTCCCAACTACAATTCAGTTGGCCTTCTTAACGTATATTTGAAGAGAATGAGACTCGAGAAAGGAGGAATCGTCATAGAAATCGAATTTAGATTCTCATCCCTCAATTGAAGACCTTCGCAACGAAAGGCGTCTGATGGCATGCATCTTAGTCATCGGGATGGGCAGACATGGTGGGGTAAGGTGGGGTGAGGTGGGGGGAGGTGGGGGGAGGTGGGTGGGGGGGGGTAGGATGAGGGGGTTAGGTGGGGTGAGGAGGGGTGAGGTGGGGTGAGGTGGGTGGGCGGGGGTAGGTGGCAATCTAACTTCTGCCGCCTCATCGGCGGCCCAAGAGTATCCTCCTCCCAATGCATTCCCTGTTGAAGTGCATGAGCCTCATGGCTCGGTCTCCTTTTCCTCTCGTGTGTCTTAGGTTTTCGTGTTTCAATGATATATCCGTTTTCGAGCTGCTTTATATGCAAGGCCTCGATTTATGCCTCCTACCATACTTGATTTAAAAATGAAGGGTGTGCCCTTGGAGAAGACCCCAAACAAAATAATTGCGATTCACTTTTTTTCGTTCTTTCCGTAATTTGTTTCATTTGCCCATGAAGAAATAAAATTCTTCAACATTTTCCCAGCATCATTGTGCACTTCATGCGATAAGCATTTTTGTTTCCCTCCTTGGTGTTGCAGATTCCGTTACGTAGAGGTTTTGGACCTCAATCTCCGAGTCGCGCTTCTTGAAAAATTAATCCTGCAGGCCGTGTGAAAATGCATTGCCGTTTGGCATCACTTATTCTCGATGATATTTCGCATTTCCTGTTACCATCAATTGATTTCACTCAATATATTGTGGGGTATCAACGGAGTTTCCCCCAAAGCGTGAAGTCCCAACACTCCTAGCGAAGATCAGAAAATCAAATGAAGATGCTCCGATGCGATGAGCGGATTCCCCCGGCATCTAATGCACAATTCATGGCTCGTTCGAGGCACGTCAGAGACGGAGATGATGGGAAATTTTTCAATTAGCGTCAACCCTCGGTAGAAGGAAAGAACAGTCGAATCTGTGGATAATGCAGGATCCCCATGAGGAAATCTGGATCGGTCTCATCATGAGGAAATTTTTTTCCTTTCCCACAAAACGCATCAACATTCTCCTCACGGATACAACCAGATCCTTGCCCATATCGACGGATCGGAAACGAGGATCGAAAATGAGGATCGAAAACGAGGATCGAAAACGAGGATCGAAAATGAGGATCGAAAACGAGGATCGAAAATGAGGATCGAAAACGAGGATCGAAAATGAGGATCGAAAATGAGGATCGAAAATGAGGATCGGAAATGAGGATCGAAAAACGTACATGATCCGAGGCAGATTGCGGTGAAACGTGGACATGATGGAGACCAGCATGTACGGGGCCCAGATGAATATCAGCACCGACACCATCACGATGTTCATCTGCGGTCAGAAATATCACCCGCGGTATGAGTGAATTTTCCATGCAACAGAAGTCATTTGTGGAAAAAATCCGAATCGGGTATCTAAATAAATTCATGAAATTCCTCAAAAAGCCCTTAAATATCATTATTCTCCTGCGAGTGGACTCATCTCTCCTGTTTTACGCATCGATTCCTTTTTATGATATTTTTAAATCTTGTTTTTTATTTTATTTTATTTTACTGTGATCAGGTAGATTTTGGGTGTGTCTTTCAGCCAACCGATTGATATATATCTTAGACATCTGGTTTAATTATCAAAAAACTCAAGGCTTGAATCATTTTCCAATTATTACCTAAAAGCGGTGTCTCAGTAAAAACCTTTATTAGCAGGTAATACAGACCTGACAAAAAAAGGAAACGTATTTTGCTCGACCCATAGGAAGAATAAAATGCCTGAATTGCATTGGCATTGCCCTCTTTCGAAACGGCTTCGTCCCGAATCGATACGAAGTCTCACTGCCTCTTACATGTCAGGAAAAAACAGTAAAAGGTCAATGGAGATCTCAAAGATTGAAAAAAGTTCTACTAATGGCATTCCCTTACAAAACGTCTACCTGCCCCCCCCCCCGGTGGATTTGGAACCAGGTGAATGTCCCCTTAGGCGTAATTTCCACCTGTTGGAGCGATGTCCCCCCGGGGGAAAATCCACCTGGCACTAAATACATGCCTTAGTAGCACATAACATTGAATCAACATTGAATCCATGTTGATTCAACATCCGGGTGCTACTAGGGTGGGCGCGAATGGATAGCTGGTTTTCCACTTGGGGGGGGGGGGGGACGTCCATCTGGTTCCACTTCACCCCCTATCCACCTGATTTTTTGACCAGGGAAATCGGGGGTGGACGTTATGTTAGGGTTACAAAGATTAGAGGCTTCTTCTCGGCTCACCAGTCTGGGGGGTGAAGGGCACCCCTTCCCCACCTTCATGATATCAAGTCAAGGAACGCAGAAAACGATGGCGCCTATCCAAATTTCACAACAGACCTTCAGGAGATGCAGTTCCATGGGCTTGAGACCGAGGCAGTTGCCGCAGGAGATGGAAGACCCACTCCTCACTGCCATCCCGCCCGCGTGGATGTTGGTCGGGTGGTATCGCATCACGTGGCGCAACACGATCGTGTACAGGGTGGCCACGAGCACGATCGAGAACAGGTAGCAGAAGGTGATGGTAGCTGCGTTACCAGAAGCGGAGTCACTTTCTAATTAGCTAATTACAATCTAATATAATCGAATTAGCTAATTACAATCTAATCTAAGTCTAATCCGCTTAATGGAATACCCGATTTACGTCACGATGCAGAGGATAGCCAATTTCATTTTCGCTATTAATGACAGTTAATTTCATCAGGTCGGCTCTATTTTTTAAACAGTGCATGGAGATAGATAATAAAAAAAGAAATTGCCAAATTTGAAGAAAATTGACACATCATGTTCCATGCCAGTTCAAACCTGATATGCAAATAAAGTGAGATACAAGCCCCGCTGAAGCGTCTCAGTGAAGCCGACCTCCACGGCCGTTCTGGATGGCGACGGGCAGACACTCGCTGCACGGATGGCGAGGATGTCCTTCAACCTTCAAGGTTTTAGCGGATGGCGAGGATGTCCTTCAACCTTCAAGGTTTTAGCGGATGGCGAGGATGTCCTTCAACTTTCAAGGTTTTAGCGGATGGCGAGGATGTCCTTCAACCTTCAAGGTTTTAGCGGATGGCGAGGATGTCCTTCAACCTTCAAGGTTTTAGCGGATGGCAAGGATGTCCTTCAACCTTCAATATTTTAACCGGGGTAGCACGTGATGCATTGGGTCAATATCATTCAAAATTTGCGTCATCTTTCTTTCGTCTATCCACATGCGATTTTTGAAATATTGGGCCGATCGGATGAAATTCACTATCATTCCTAAAGAAACTGGAATTTGCACCTTTTTTTTACAGTGCGCTGGTCCCGCCAGTATTCCTTAAGGAGTCCAGGAAGCAAAATCTTCTCAAAGACTTTCTTCGAGCCCTCGCGCACTCATCATCCCCTTTGAGTGTTTACGTAATCGGTACTCTGGATTTGAACCAGACTAATATGTTTTTTCCCCTTATTGCAGTCCGGGTAATGAGAATTTGACGGGAAAGGAAGAATTACGAGTGGATGAGATGACTTTGGTACCTAGGCAACACACCCCCGTTGAGCCAACGTAAGCTGGATCCCCCACGAGACGTGGGCCCAGCGTGGGCCCAGCGTTGGACCCTCTTCCCTCGGCTCCACTTAGAGCCTGTAGGCCCACTTCAAGCAAACAGTAAACGGTGGCGGGCGGCAAGACTTTCCGATGGACTTTTCCTGATGGTTTTCACGTCCATTCGGCTCCAGCCGATTCGTCGAGGATCGAAACGAAAAGTATGGCACAGTTCGTGTCCGTTCTCTTCCGACTTTACGGTTCGCACAAAGGCAAACTTCGGCTGCGAGAAAATTAATTATGCTTTCTGCAGTCTTTCTCTCTGAAGCTTTGAAGGCCAGCTCTGAAACGGGGAGAAACCTTGATTCCAACCTTGATTCTGGCCTCAACCCCCCCACCCCCTTGCCGATTTCCCATTTTCTTCCTCCTTTTCCCTTTTTCTTCCTCGGCGCCGAAAGGAAGACTCCATGGAGCAGTGACTTTTCTATGCGATCGCCTGTTCGTGGAAGCGCATGGATCGGCAGTGCAAACGCTCTCTATTGCGTCATGCACAATATCTTCAAGAATGGATGTGCGATGCTGTGCCAGACACCTTGAGCCCCGAAGATTATCGGTAGTTGGAACTGATGAAAAATACAAACTGTCTCCTGACTTTTTTTTTTAATAGAGAGAGAGACAGAGAGAGAGAGATGATTTATTAGGGCTCAATTAGTAGCTGTATGACGGAAGAATTTTGACTATATGGGAAGGGAATCGAGGGAGCAGGCTTCAATTAGGCATATACTTTCCCTAACGCAGCTGATCCAATCACAGCACTCATTTCATCAGGAAACTTTCGGGAGATTCCTCTCGGGAGATCTTGTGAATCGCAGCATCAAAAGGGCTTGTTTCCCCTCTTATCAGAGAGAAAAAAAAGTTGAAGACGCCAAACAGCCATCTTCAATGCGGAAATTGAGGCAAAATTCCATTTACGCGGAACTCCATCGCCTCGCAATTCCAGATGTTGATCATCGCATCGAAATTGAAGGCAATGTCTCCGGGTCGAGATCCAATTATTTCCAAGTCAAAATTGCCCTGGGCTCTGAGAGGGAGTTCCCGCTTTGTTTCCCAGCCGTCGAGGAGAGATTCATCTCTTTGTGCTTGCTAGACCGAAGATTTGCTTTGATGTTTCCTCAGACAGGGCAGAAAAATAAAAGTTCGTCCTTGAAATATCTGATTAACGGTAAACAATAAAAATATGATAAAATAATTTGCACAAAAATTGACAAATAATAATAGAGAGACTCCGATATCTGAGAGAGAAATAAAAAGTGAATGGGGGAAGGTATTGGCGGTGATGGGCTTTAAGACTCCAATCGCAGGAGGCAACACATCGGAGCATTTCGCATATACATATTTAGCATATATATATTTAGCATACCCAAGTAGCACGCGAACGTTCACAAGGATGTTCAAAGTTCACGGAAGAACTTTGAACGGTTTTGGGCACTCCGATCCATGACGGCATTTGAAATTCTTCGAACGTTAAAGGGACGGTTTCTTCAAGCGGAGATGCGACAGCAGCTCGAACGAAGGTTCGCACAACCGAAGCCAGATGGCGCCCATGTCGCCGCTATGGCGAGCCAATGCCTGATGCGGCAGTAATCATTCCATGATGCATTCCAGACAGTGCCCACTTTTTCCCCACAGACACAACGGGGAGTGACATTTAAATCCTCCAACGAATCGGTCAAAAGAGGTAACCCAATCCGAAGAGTCTCCAGAAAACTCTGGCTAGGAGGATGAAGGGAGTATATTTCAATTCTCAAGGTGACTCGAAGGAATCATACATAATAGACGCCTGTAATTGAATCTCGACTCGCACGGAGAGATGGTAATGCTACTTCTTTCTATTGTTTTGGAGCTATTTTTCCCGATCAGATTGATCTGCCGCCACGATCGGATCTGATCCTTGGCTCGGGAGAAAGGGCTAGATGCAATTGAAATGGTCGATTCCAATATGTTGACTGCTTGTTGGATGAATTCTGAATAGGAAAGTACTCTGAACCTTTGGTGCTGTTTGGGAATATTCAATTCACGTCTATGATGCACGTTCAGGGAGCGCATAATTTTAACTTTTTTTTTTACTGGTCGAATTTTTGGACAATAGTTAATAGAACGTTTCAAAAGACGTTCAATGCACATTGGCAGTACTTTGGGACTTTCGTTGGGTACTTGCAAACAGGCACTATCAGCTATAGAAAAAAAAATCGGTCCTATCAGCGACAGACGAGGGATCAGACGCTGACGTAAGGCTCTGCAACAAGTCGCCACCGTGACCCAGCTTCCTAGGTGAGAGTTATCAGCGCCTTCGAAGGTATGTTTTAAGAAAAGTGACAGCAGCAAAAAATGAAAGTAAGGTGGAAAATGGGAGAGAGACATCTTTAACGAGATGAAGGTAAAACAGGGCAAAAGGAAATGAAAGGGGGGAGAGAACAAACTTAAGGGGGAAAAAAATATGACAAAAAAGGAGGGGCATAAAAGAGAAGCGAGAAGAATAAAAGGTTTAAAAGGAATATGACGTATGAGGAAAAACATGGAAATAGTCTGCTTCGAGGACATTTCTGGATTGTGAAAAGAAGAAAAAAAAAGTAAGCGAAGCCAAAATGAAAGTGAAAAAGGCAGAACCAAGAGAGAAAAAAGGAGTGGATGAAGTGAGTGTCACTTGGGTTAGGTGTCATCCCGAGTCTACTGCTTGTTATCCTCATATCGCTTGAACTGGGGTCGAGTTTCCATTAAGCGAATGCGAACGCGTTGTTGGAGGCGTGCAATTCGCAATTACCCTCCTCCGCGGCCGCTTTCTTCCCCCCCGGAGTCGACCGTGCACCGGGAGGACGACATCCTCCCGGTTCGCCGCCGAGCCGCGAAGTCTCGCGGGTCTCCCGCCGTGGCTGCACCTCCGAACCGGAGGGCCTTCTGTCCTTGGTGCAAACTGCGTCGAAGGACATGTCATCCTCGGGAGGGTAGATTCCACCGCGATCGAGAAAAGCGCGAACTACTTCTTTCTTTACAGAAAAAAAATTAAACAGTGTAATTAAACAGTTGAATCACCGTTGAATCATCGGTAACGTATCTGTAAGGGTGTAATCTCTCGTAGGCTTTCTCCAGCAGGCTGCATATGATAGGATTCGCGAGTAAATCCCGGTTCGGAGAATACGCGATCCTTGAGATGCTTCCAGCTCTTTTATCCTCTTTCGGAGATGAAGCAAATGCGCGTTCCTAATGCGAAAGCAATGCAAGACTTAAATCCCACCGAGTCTCCAAGCGCTGGATATAATTTGTCCCAAACGTTCGCCGAGAAATCTGTCGCGATCAAGAATCGGAGGCTTCAGAGATTCCTGATTGGCTGATTCCGACTCGGAATCCGACGGCGAAGCATGGGGGCTTTGCTTTGGAGGCATGACCGAGGCCGACATTAAGCCATGACTTAAAGTCGGCCTCGGGTTTTGGACGACTTTAAGCCATTGCTTAAAGTCGTCCAAAAACGTCACAGCCGTCTGAATGGATCCCTATGCACCTCGGGGTCGTCTTTATGTAGTTTTTTTTATTGTAATGCAAAAAGTAACCGCGACATAGACTGGAGACTCGCCAAGTCGTGAAACTAAGCACGGAAGGTTAATGGAAGGTTAATTAACCGTTGAAGGTCGACCTTTACATACGATTCATCGCCAGTCCGACCAACACTCTCCAGCTCGATCTCGATTGGGCTCGAGCCCGGGTCCATCCCTTAGCCGGCGGCAAGGTTCGAAGGAAACGGCCGGAGAATCCGGAAAAAAAAAAAAACTCGTAATGCCGAGTCGGAATGAATCACGATCGACCTCAAGGTTGCGCAAATATTTCCATATATTCCCATACGTAAGAGTCCTTCCCACATTTTAGCCGCTTTTCCTCCACACTTGCCAGGAATCTCTCCGGAGTTTTCAAACCTTTCGAATAATATTCATTGAGAATATTATTCCCTTCCTCTGCGTTGTCTGAGGGGAAGGATCCGATGTTGGCCGCCTACGTGGGCAGCCCACTGCGATGTTGGCCTGCACTCCTTCACGTCAACGTGGGCCCTACGTAGTGTGTTCCTTGGGTAGCGCAGAGGCTTATCTTTTAAAAAAGGGTATCAGTCGTAATACAAATAAAATAAAATAATTTTTAAAATTCCGAAGCGTGAGGTTCCTTAACGCGAATAACAGGAATAAAAGATAAACGGTTCTGATCTTCCCATTGAATAACGTGAAATTTTCGCCCTGACTTTATTCTTCTATATGGCATTCTCAAGTTCTTTTCTCTCTCCCCCTCTCTCTCTTCCACTCCACGTGACTTCTGATTTGTTTGTCTCAGAGAAAAACAAATCTTGATTTGTTTTTCTCTGAGAAAGCCGAGAAAACCAACTCGAAGGCACATCGCATCCTCCGGTTAGAAAGGAGCCTCCCTTACCGACGATGTAGACGATGGCCGAGAGGCTGGTGTCGTCCCAGTCGATGGAGCACGACGTGTAGAACGGCTCCTGCACGTACCGCGACCACAGCCCCAGCAGGGGCGGGAGCGTCCAGAGCACGCTGAAGACCCACACGAACGAGATGACCGCGCACACCAATTTTCCCGATAACCGTTTCTCTGCGCGGCGGAGGAAAGGGAAATTTAAAAACATGAGATATTTAAAAATTGGCTATCGTAAATGCGACGAAGAGGGCACCTGTTGCTCTCTAATCTAATATTGTTGTTACAGCACCCTGCAAATTAACTTAAAGTTCATTCCAGATCCGCTTAATTTTCTCGTGAAGGCATCCAAAGTGAATTTGAGACCAAAGAGAATAGCCAATATATTATACATAGAAAGCTCTAATTGCTCGTTTTATTGTTTCTCAATTGCTTCCTGGAATCGCAAGGCTCATACACGCAGACCTAATGCATTATAAATTATCCCCTTAAACCCTTAAGGGTTTCCTGCAGAAACGCTGGGTTGGAAAGCGAGCTTCTTTAATCGGATTTCCCCGAGGAGCCCGTGAGATTGATAGGTGCATGAGATCAGCGAAGATTGGGATGAAAGGTGGAAAAGGAGCGATGGAGATCCATTTCCTTGCCAGTGCCATCCGGTGAAATTTTATTTTTAGTTCTCCATTTTTTTTTTAACAGGATTTTTTAACAGGATTGGGGAAAGGTTGAAAAAAAAAACTGGAAAAGCATCGGAGGACTGCTTGCTGAATGGCATCTCTGGCATTCGAAGGCGCATTTCTGCCAAATCGTTGAAATTGTTCATGATAAAAAAGGTCACGAAAAGAAGAAAAAAACGAAAATGAGAATTTTAGAGAATTGGCATCAGTACATCGAGGTACAAAGTAGTTACATGCTCAATCAGCGAAATAAAATAAAATATTCATAGGCATTCATAGGGGAGGCTGGGGCATCACGGATCGCAGTTTCGTGAGCCAGCAATACATTTTATTTCTCGGAAGCAATGGAAGGTAATGCGTGCAAAGACTCACATCACCTAATTTTTTTTTAATTTCCTGAAGGTTCCTGCAATTAAATGATAAACCTCTTGGTTCCGGTTTAGGACTGGGAAAGCCTTATAAGGCACGTGATGAACCTTCAAAGAAAGGTCAGGCGCTGAGGAATGAACAAAGAGACGTGGCCTGGAGAGGTTGAGTTCAATAATGAATGAATGAATCACTGTGGAATGTGCAAAAAATGTTGGAACTCACTGAAGCTGGGTCTGAAGATGACCTCGTACCGGAAAAGGCAAATGGCGACCTGGGTCGCCATACTGCTCTGGAGAGACAAGAAAAAAGACCTCACCTTTCGTTTCAGTTAAAATCCTGTAAGTAAAATCGGATAACAGAACTGCAATGCATTCACATGCATTCCAGTTGAGGGCAATTGAGGGCAATGGTTCAGCTGTTCGCCATCCAAAACTTACTTACGAGTCCGTGCCAATATTTGCCACTTTTTCATGTAGATTCACCGGTGAACCAAAACGTCTCTGATCTTATCGTACTTGTTTCATCTTCAAATTCATTTCCAATATTTAAAGCCAATGCTGCTTCATTCCCCCCCCCCCCCCACCCCCGTCCTGACAGGTCATTGATCACTGTAACGAAATAGCTCCAGAGATATCCGAACACCACCACATTTTCTTGCGCGACCGCGCAAGAAAATCTCGGCAATTTCCATGGCTCCATGTAATGTCTAGAACGTAGCTAATGCATCTGAAGCATGCTGGCAACAGTGAAGTATAATCCTGCGCGGAACGAGATGGGTTCAGCATTAATTTGTCCGGAGAAAACCATTGAAAATGCAATTTCTAAACGCATGCATGCTGATCGCATCACATTTTGTGAAGGATTGATGGTAAATGCATCCCTCATCTGGCGATGAGCGCAGTTTCATTGTTTACTTAAATGCACTTGATGGATATCATCAGTGCCGGGCTACTGCTTGCTTTGCAGATTCTCAAGACTCCATCCAGTCACAACAGCTCAGTTAAAACAGAAGAGAAGTCACGAACGCCATATGACAGCATTGGAAACCTACCAAGTTAGTCGCGAAGCAGACGAAGGCGTAGACCTGGCAGAGGACGTCGGAGAACACCCAGTACCCATAGTAGCCCGAGACGGTGGTGAAGGGATAGCCGAGGAAGGAGACGAGGAGGTCGGACGCCGCCAGGTTCATCAGCAGCTGCATGTGAGGATCCCGGCGAAATCTTCTCCTGTGGAGGATCGTCGCCAGGAACAATCCGTTTCCCACCGTCGCCAATATCCCTTTTAGGAGACAAACAAGTGAGGCTCACAAAAAATTGTATTCCAAGCGACACTGCTCGACGTGCAAAATTTATTTATTTCTATTGTGAAATAAAATATCCTTAAAAAATTAAAAACAACATCTCGAATGCGAACAAACGAAAACGAATGATGGCACATCAAGAATTCAAATCTCATTGCTTAACAAGGGCAACTCACCAACGATGGTGAGATAGATTGCCGTGCAGAGAAGTTCTTCCTTCGTGAACAAGAATCGGAATTTCGGAATGCCGGTAGCATTCAACTCCATCTGGAAATTAGGATCCTTTTAATATGCGAGGGCTTCGTCTCGTGGCCACCGATATGAAGGTCCTCGGATTGCCTTGGATCGATTTCCTTTAGGAAGGCAATAAGGTCTAATAAAAGCCTTGGGTGATGAGGACGGTTCCCTCTCCTCACAGCTCACAAGGAGAAAACTCGCAGCTCTCTGCAACTCCGTCTCTGAAAAACACGGAAGCACAATTTTTTAAAATACGTACGTCTATGCATCATTTGAGCATTCTACAATTTTTGACCGTTTACCTCGAGCCGCTTGACCACACGAGAGGTTTTACAAAATCAACCGGAAATATATTTTTTTGCGATCTCACCTGGACGCTGACTCGAGGACCAGCTAAACTGACTAGGGATCGCAATTCCTTACGAGAGCCTTAATCCTGGGGATTTGCATCCAAGGACTTTAAAATCCTTGGATATTCCATCCTATTAAAAGAAACGACTCCTTGCCCATAAATGCTGTTCTTCAGTTTCAGTCCACCGCTCCCTCTCTTCCTCTCATGTGAAACCAGTGTCTCGCACAGTTTCTGGCTCAATCTCATAACGATAGGCCTATATTACCAGAAAATCTTGCCTAATTCTTTGTTCCACCCCATTCAGCTTTGGGCTTAACGAGTGCCGACCCACCAACAAACAAGAACGCTTGAAAATGGTTTAGACAATTTGAATCAACCGGAATCATCGCTCATCACAAAAAGACTGACAGGCCACCAGCATCCACATCCCTGCCGCACCGAGCGATTCCGGCAAGCGACGATGAACAGCCAACACAATTCCCCCCGAGGCTCTTCCCTGGAACTCGGCCTCGAACGCCTGCGCGGGGGACTGCTGATCGGATGCTTCCCTTCCAAGTCCAGCGCGTTCAAGTCAGACTCCTCATCAGACTCGACTTCCGTGCTGTGAGGTTATGCGAGACCGATACGCTTTTAGACCTACTTATTTGACAAAATTTGGAAGGGATGTTCATCGCAATAGTTGCCAAGTATCACGCCCGGACATCTTAGCTAAAACGTGGACTGAACTATCCCGTTCCCTCCCCTTACAAAACGTTCCCCTCTCTTTCGTCCGTATTTTACCGCTTTTCCCCTAATCTTTAACCGGAGGGTCTTCTGACAAGTTGAGAGGGGACAAAACCGATTCGTTACCTCAGTTTCTCCCTTCCAATTATATCCTTGAGGGAAATTTTTTGTGCAAACGTGCAAATGGTCATATGAAGCATTGATGCTGCATGCAAAAAATTCAAGGACAATAGTAAGCTTGATACAAAGTCCCTAACTTACTTGTTTTGGTTTGTAAAATAAATCATTTTTTGATACACCTTTTTGGATCACCCTATAAAATTCGGGTCGCCTTCGCGTTCAGAAAAACGGCCGGAGAAAAATTTTAAAGGCTATATCTGGGGTATAAAGGATATAGATGGAATCCGGCATCTCGCGAACTAAAAGGAATCTCAAAGGACTGCGTTTCTATTTTTAGCCTCCCCAGAGTATCTGCGTCGATGGTGCGGAGAATGATGATTAGAGCGCTTCTTATCAGGCGGAGAAATTTGAAAGACCGGAGAGGGTGAAAAACAACTACTTGTTGAAAAGAGAGCGAAAGGATCGATAGCGAGGGGAATCTCATGGTGATGAGAAAGGTGAGCCATTAGAAGGGTGAGCCATTAGAAACGTGAGCCATTGGAAAGGTGAGTCTTTAGAAAGGTGAGTCTTTAGAAAGGTGAGCTGCAAGGTCTCAGCGGAGCGCCGCTTGGTCGTCGGTTGGTCGCCAGTTGCTCGCCGGCTTAAAGGCTTTTCTGAGCGACCTTTTTTCAGACGGTGAAGGATCAGTTGCATGGGCCTCTATGTGCAGTAATGTTGGCCTGATTAAAGAAAAAATTAGAACTTCTGAATTCATGATGCTTGGTTTATTTCGAACGATCAGGAAAAAAAATTATTTATTGAAGAGTGCATGAAGAATGCCGAAAAGTAGTTTCAAACTTTTCGTTTTCCCTTCAATGCGATCCTTGTGTCCCAGGACACAGACACTCAAAACGGCTCAATGTATTTCTTGCCCCAACGTAAGAGAAAGCATACAGGGTGGAAAATAGTCAAATAATCACCGATTAATGAACTTAAATCCTTCGGTCTTTGTGTGCCATTTCAGGAGAAATAAAAACTTCCCCACGTAAACTTACTTATGGGCCGTCCTGTACATTCATTTTTCGCGGCAAAAACAATTAGGATCTTCTTCATAGCAACGACATTGATGCTGACGATCTTTGCAGAGAGACAGCGATGTGATGAAATCGTATTCCAGGAATACCCAATATGAGCTTTTTTTTTGTTCAAATTTTAATAATCGCAAAGACACCAAAAGAGAAGAGGAAGTCAGAAGTGACATCCAAAAAGTTCTTCCTGGTTTCAGTAGAAAAAATAGCATTGTAGCCTCTTGGCCTTCCGATTTTCCTTTGTTTCCAGGCTCAGGCGGCCCCGATGGCTCCCTCTCAAAGGTGGCACCCTCTCCAGGGAGGCACTCCCCCCCCCCCAGAGAGTAAAGGATACACAGTATATGGAATCCGGTGACTCGTGAACTCAAAGGAGTCTCAAAGGACTGCTTTTCTATTTTTAGCCTCCCCGGTATATGCTTCGATTGTGTGGAGAATGATGAGTAGAGCGCTTCTAATTAGACGGAGAAATTTAAAAGGATGGAGAGGGAAAAAACAATCACTTGTGGAAAAAAGAGCGGATGGATCGATAGCGAGAGGAACCTCCGTCATGGCCATGAGAAAGGTGAGCCATGAGAGAGGTGAGCCATGAGAAAGGTGAGCCATGAGAAAGGTGAGCCATGAGAAAGGTGAGCCATGAGAAAGGTGAGCCATGAGAAAGGTGAGCCANAGGTGAGCCATGAGAAAGGTGAGCCATGAGAAAGGTGAGCCATGAGAAAGGTGAGCCATGAGAAAGGTGAGCCATGAGAAAGGTGAGCCATGAGAAAGGTGAGCCATGAGAAAGGTGAGCCATGAGAAAAGTGAGCTACCGGTCTCAGCGAGCGCCGGTTGGTCGCCGGCTTGAAGGCTTTTCTGAGCGACCTTTATCAGACGGTGAAGGATCAGTTGCATCGGCCTCTATGTGCAATGATATTGGCCTGATTAAAGAAAAAAAATAGAACTTCTGAATTCATGATGCTTGGTTTATTTCGAACGATCAGGGAAAAAATGATTTATTGAAGAGTACTTCAGTACATGAAGAGTGCCGAAGAGTACTTTCAAACTTTTCGTTTCATGTTCAATGCGATCCTTGTGTCCCAGGACACAGACACTCAAAACGGCTCAATATTTTATGAACTCCCCGCTTGTCATCCCAGATGCTCATAAGATGCCTGAACATGTATTTCTTGCCCCAAAGTAAGAGAAAGCATACAGCGTGGCCAATAGTCAAGAAATCCCCGATCAATGAGCTAAAATCCTTCGGTCTTTGTCTGAGTGCAATTTCTGGAGAAATAAACACTTTCTTATGGGCCGCCCTGAATGCTCATTTGTCGTGTCAAAAGCAACTAGGTTCTTCTTTGTTGCCACGGTATTGATGCTGATATTCTTTGTAGATTGACAACGATGTAATGACATTTTATTGCAGGAGTACCCAATATGAGCTATTTTTGTTCGAAATTGACTCATATGGTGCACAAAGACATTAACCCTCATAGACCTGAATTGAGGCCACTATCAGTATTATATACTTTTTTGCATTTTTTTTTTAGCTCTTTCGCCATTCTGCTTTCATTTTCTATGTTCTATCAGTAAATTTTTTTTACTTTGTATGAATTTACCATAATATACCATATATTATACATTATACATTTAAGTGCATAATTGAGTATTTTCTAAACTAACAGGTGGAAGAAGGCCTTTAATGGAATTGAGTCATGTATAATTGCACCACTTTAGAGCAGTACGGGACACAAAGCCACGAAAATCCAAAGGAATTTCCATAGACACAATGATAAAGCAATGTCCATTGGAATGGACGCTGGGTCTGAAAGGGTTAAAAGAGAGGGATGAGGTCAAAAGTGACATCCAAAAAGTTCTTCCTGATTTCAGTAGAAAACTCATGGCCTTCTAATTCATAGCCTCACGGCCTTCTAATTCATAGCCTCATGGCCTTCTAATTCATAGCCTCATGGCCTTCTAATTTTACTTTGCTTCCACGCTCGGGCCGCCCCGATGGCTCCCTCTCAAAGGTGGCACCCTCCCCAGAGTGGCTCCCTCTCCATGGAATGCATCATCAGCTAAATAGAATCACCTGCGTTGAATTCCCATCCGACAACGGCGGCCTGATTGAAGTTCCATTGTGCTCATCTCGACTACTCTCGATGAAATCCCATGGAATCGGGAAAGAAGTGGGAGCGAAATTTAATTCTTAATCAGTTATTGGTCTCGCGGTCTCGGCGAAGCACAGTCAAACCTGAAGAAGACCGTCGTCCTTAGATGGGGGGGAGTTCAACCCAATTTATGCCGAAGGACCCCGATGAACCTCATCGCCCCCCTCCGCCCCCTCCGCCCCCTCCGCCCCCTCCGCCCCCTCCCCCCTCCCCCCTCCCCCCGCCCCTGGAATGAGCCCGTCGAAACCACTTGAATCGAACTTACCTATATGCGGCGATCGGAGACAGGCGACTCGCCGTTACGAGCAGGCAGCCTTTCACCGAATGTGGGTTACTCGTGCCGGAAGGGAACTTCAGATCACGGGCTTAATCCGATTCCAGGCGCAGACGCTTCCTCAGGCAGACGCTTCCTCAGGCAGACGCTTCCTCAGGCAGACGCTTCCTCAGGCAGGCGCTTCCTCAGTCGCCCTCGTGCTTCCCGAGGGAAAACGTCGTCGTCCGTGATCGTTGGGTTCCCGGAGTGAAACTCCGTGGCTCCTTCATTTCATATTTATTCACTAATTTAATTTAATAATAATAATTCGTCATGAGAAGACAAAAGAGTCTTGATAAGTATTAGAAATTACCATGCGCTGTGCGAAGGTGCGGGCAGTCGACTTCGAGGGCAGATAAGGATTTGCAGGAACTTCGAAGGGAAAGAGTTTCCGGCCATTCATGGACGCGTTTGCGCTCGCCAATTCTTGGGCGGACTCCTCCGATCCGAATCTCCTCTCCTTTGTGAGGCCGGAGCAAAGCAAGCAGAATTTTTTGTTTCCACGGAAATTCCGAGCGTTTCCGTCTCGTGCGAGGAGAATGGGATTCTGCTTCATCGCGGTGACCGTTTCTCCGATTTTCCGACTGAGTACTTTCCTCCGATCGCTTCCACGTTGGGCCGACGCTTGCAGTCCACATCGGGCCAACGCTTCCAGTCCACACTGGGCCAACGCTTCCAGTCCACACTGGGCCAACATTAAATGCTGAAGTGCGGCATGGCCATTCAGCGCTTGAAGGCTTAGAGTGAATATATGCATCCTAGACCATGGATCCACTTCGCTGGTAACAACGTTTAAACAGACATCAGTAACTCAGGTCTAATTTGTAATTAGCATTAAGAGAAAATAAATTATTAAAATGAATAACGTTCGAATTTCAAAGTGCCACACTTGAGACGAATAATAGGGGATGCCTCCCGTCATCAGGGAACCCTCAACTGGATGCATGCAAATCCTCAGTCGTACCCGCCCTGTTGCATTCAAGTGAGGCACGTAGTTGAAGTTTCGAACATCCAGGTTTTTTGGATGAAAGGGATGAGCTGGGCACGGGATGCGGATGCATTCCATTGGATCGATCTGAAACGAGGATTTGGCGGGCAGCTCGGCTTGCAATCGAGTTTCTTGTTTGGTGCAGACGAATATGCTATCAGAGGGTTTTTTTCTCCATCGGCTTACAGTGGCTGGCGGAACTCAGTGACCTGTGGTGGAGTAGACTTCCTGCAGAATGTTGGAAGATATATATCACATGAAAATACTGCATGGATATGTGACAGGGATATATGTTTCAGCCGAAAGAGTTGAGGTATGAGTGTATAATAATAATCTGCTGAAAAAGTGGTCACGTTCTACCTGGACATTCTGGAGCAGGCATGTTCCACGTCTCGCCCAGGCCATTGCGTCTGCAATCTGTGCTCCTACCTTCCCCTGGATGCACACTGGACTCGAGTCAAGTTTGCTGACGCCATTTTGGTTTAAGACCGAAGGTAGGGGAGGCTGCGAAAGAAACCAGGGTGCCACCAGGACTTGAACCCGAGCCTCCGAGTTTCTTCGTTAACCATCGCACCACCGAGCGCTTAACACCATACATTAGGGTTTCTGTTCCAACAAAACGTGCAGTCTCGCCCTCGGCTAAAAGTGATCAAAATAGTATCAAAATATATACCAATGCAATATACTCATCAAGAGCTTGTGACTGATATATCACAGGCGCCATTCGACTGGTCGGAAGTCTTTCCCTTATAGATAATTGTTAATTAGCAGTAAGAAAAATGCAATTAGCAATTAGATGTATTGGGCATCATTGAGATCGAAGAGACTGCCATGTCCGATCCAAGAGAGAGCACTAAAAAGGTAGCATCAAAGAAATGAAGTAATTATCTTTTAAATTAATTAATCAGTTAACACATTATATTAATATTTTCGTGCAAGGTTTAAATATGAGAGATGAGGATAAATATGAGACCACTCTCACGATTTCTCCTTCATGGTTTGGTGATTCGGTAAACTGCATATTACAGTCGACTCCGCTTAATGGAATAGTCACGGGACCGGCAAACTTTATTCTATGATCCGGAGTATTCCAATGACCGAAACCACTCCTGCTTCTTCACACTTCATCACATTTTTTTAAAATGGCTGCTGTGCGGTACCTCCAAAAAGCGCTTAAAAGAAGCACATGACGTCGGACCTTGCTCTCTAGTTGATATATTTCGTCCAGGGCCGACACGCCCGTGGAGTCGATGAAGAAGCTTAAGAGCTCCACTGTTCGATTCCTTCCGTTTCCTTGTCATCCTCCGGACGATTTTCATCTTCTTCATCCGATTTATCTTGGTCTTGCCGTACCATCTGGAGGAGTTCGGCGTCACTGAACTCACCAGAAACGTCCACATTCTCATCGCATTCAACATGAAGCAGGAATTCTTCTTGAGTCATTCCAAAGGGTGGATCCTCATCGCTTGGTCAACATCTCCTGCCTTGCTTCCCCGTTTGCGCTTCCTGCTCTGGTTTCCGTTCTTCTTATATTCCACCTCTAACGCTTCCTTGTCTTTGATGATCTTGGAAACTTGCGGCTGGGAGATCCCGAACTGCCGAGCCAGTTCAGCTTGCGTCTTCTTATCGTCTTGATGGGCACTCAGAACTGCAATCTTCTCGGCCGAGCTGAGGTCCTTCCTTCTCCCCATGGTGAACTCGGAATGAGCAGATCTGTTGCTTAGAGACTCTATTTATTGCCCAAGTGAACTTGCTTCCACTTTCACCTGAGGTCAGGTCGTCTCCACATGGCCAAGCTGAGGTCCTTCCTTCTCCCCATGGTGAACTCGGAATGAGCAGATCTGTTGCTTAGAGACTCTATTTATTGCCCAAGTGAACTTGCTTCCACTTTCACCTGAGGTCAGGTCGTCTCCACATCTGCGGCCTATATTTACACCCTAATTTCCAGGAAGGGGTGGTTCCACGAAGCATGAGGGTGGGAACTGGGAAAGAGGGTCGGTGGGGATTTTCCAAGAATGTACAAGGAAAAATGGTCGTCTCCACATCTGCGGCCTATATTTACACCCTAATTTCCAGGAAGGGGTGGTCCCACGAAGCATGAGGGTGGGAACTGGGAAAGAGGGTCGGTGGGGATTTTCCAAGAATGTACAAGGAAAAATTAAGCCATTTGTTCCTCAGAAGATAAAGAAAATTATTTTACCATCCAGGAAGGTTAAGCGAATTATTCTAATAACCGTATTCCATTATGCGATTTTTTTTATAATGCGTCCTATGGATGAAAAATCGGGACCGGGCGATGGGATTCCATTAAGCGGAGTATTCTATTAAGTGGTATTCCATTATGCGGAGTCGACTGTATATGCAGCATATGAGCTCAGTACCCCTTGCCACCGAGTCTCTCTCGGTCTGACCGGGAGTACTGCCACGAGTACTACCCGCAGGAGTAGTACTCCATCGATTATCGTCTTTGGTGGCCCTCGCTTCCCGCAGGAGAATTTCAATCACTATGCGATTTCATTCATCGATTTCACCAGTCTCTCTTTTCTCCTCCCGATTTGAACCGCGGTTTCTCCACGATTGACTGGGGTCTGCTTGGACTGCTTAACCTGCTTAAAGAAATTAATTGAGGGATTTGAGTGTCTTCCCCTATCTTGTCTGTGGGGGAAGACCATGTACCGCATGAAGGGTACTGGAGTCTTATAACGAGTCATTCCCTGATACCATTGAAACGGCGGCGACGTAGGCGCCATCTCTTTTCATTTGTGGGAAGCTTTTATGCTAAAATATCTCAGATAGATGTCTCTCTCCTGAGATTAGGAAAATGTTGGTTGCCGCTCTAGTGCCGATGTGGGGTCCACATGTGCAACCCACTGCGATGTGGGCCCACGCTCCCCGATTCACAGCCAACGTGGGCCTAACATAGCGTGCTGCTTGGGTCGTCGTCCTGGAAATTCCAACTCGGCATTGGTTTTCTGTTAAAGTAGGTGTACCTAAGTAGGTGTACCTAAGTAGGTGCAATAAAGATCGACGAGTCGCGAAAAATGTTTTTCCATCAGAAAAAGTCCAAAAAATGCTGGAAAGCACTCCGCGTTTGAAAAGGTGTTCCGGCTCCCCGAACTCTTCGCGTTCGGTCGAGAGAGCATCAACGAGAAAATTGCTTGCAGTCCGTTTTGCATCGTTCGGAGTGGGTCCGGATAATATTTTTTAAAAGGCAAATTGAAGGAGAAAATAAGCTGGAGTTTTGAAGTACCTGAGTATGGGATTCTCATTCGCGTGGGATAAAAAAAAATAGAATGAGATATATATAATAATGCATATTTTAGGCGTAATGGGAGGGCACATTTTTTAAATTATGGCTGGAAACAGGAGAAATGAGAAAGGGACGAATTAGAGGGCAATCACAGTCGTTACAAACCGGTACAAATTCGCAGATCCCTCGATGTCCTTATTGGCGAGAGCTAAGCTCTAAGTTTGCATAAGTTTGCATAAGTTCAGAAGCATTTTTGGTCCAAAGCCTCAGGACGAGGTGGAGATTCTAGTTCTCGCAGTAATGACTTGTAGCGACAGTAATGATTATTGTGGCGTAGTTTGGGGGAGAAAAAAAGAAATTACTGCAAAAAAATGATGAAAGAACCGCTCTGGAATTCAAGGCGCGCCTGTCTTGCGCTTCTGCGCTTCTCTTCGTAACGTTCAAGCAATGCGGCTAAAGTCGGGTGCATCAAACGTCACGAGCGACATTTTAAGCATTTATTTCCCAACCGTACCATAAAGACCAGACTTCATCGTTCACGGTAATGAAGCACGGTAATGAAGCAAGGGTAATGAAGCAAGGACCCGCTTCCTTGAGGCCGTGAGGCGCCTCACGGTTCGCGACTCTCCTCTTCGCAGGAGACGGTGGAACCTCCTCAGGATGCAGACTTCCTTTTCACGTCGTGTCCTGAATCCCTAGGGGAAAAGAACATTCAAATTGTTCATGTTTGATTATTCCACCCATAAATTCAACGAATAATTAATTCGAAGATCTCATTCGAAGAGACCCAATGCAACCTACGGTGCCTAATGCAGGGAAAGATTCCGTTCCCTGTCGATAGCGAAGAACCGCTTCAAATGAATCTCAAAACTAGAAGATATTGGACGAAAAGGTGAATTTTTGCAAAGGTGAATTTTTGCAAAGGTGAATTTTTGCAAAGGTGAATTTTTGCATTACACTGTCCCGTGATCAAACAATGCCAATGCGTTTGACAAAAACTCTCCAGGGAAGGAGCATTCGGCTTTTCAGTAAGGAAAGTCTCAAAGCAGAGTGGGAGATGCAATTGATGAAAAAAACTCATCAATCGACGGAATGACCCGAGACATATTGACTGCATTCAGCTTCCGGAAGTCAATAATGAATGAAGCCGTAATGAACGGAGAATATGAGATTTCACAAATATATTTTCCCAATAAGCTTGCATGCTAAGGAAAATTTCGGATCCGATACAAATGTAAATACCAACATACAACAATACCCGCCTGTTTAAGCTAAAACAGGCAGTTAGATGATTAATATGAGTAAATCGGTCAATCAGGTTAAGCCGCAAATTAATTGTGTTGCTGATAACTTTACAGAACTGTGCAAACTGTTGAACTGTTTCGTGTTTGCAACGCGAATGAAGATTTAAAGGAAAACCTCGAATGTCGCATTACCCAATAATTAGGCACCTCCTACC